TCCAACACATCTATGAAGGCAAACTTTTAAAACAATGTGTTCTAGCGCATTTTGTAGGCCTTTCAATTCTGCATTTTTATGTGTAGTAACTATTCCAGGTCTGAGTGCGCTGACAAAACTATATACATTTTACTATTTTCAATGAGGGTTGCATATATGGGGTGCAGATAGTCATAGATAATGTTTGATCAATAACTCTATGAAGACATTAGTCTGAGAAGATGTGTTATAGATCACTTTACAGCCCGTTTAATTGCGCAGTTTTTCGTATATGAGATTCTATGAGGAACATCGAACTCACAGAGAAAAATGAATAAATACGGTTGAATAGGCTTTTTGGATCGATACTTAGAAATGGTTCAAAACTGCAGGACATAGTAGCCTACAATCAACTTTTAAGGCGCGAAAACTAAATAACGAACGGTTCTTGATCAGTTGCACTAGTTACCTACATAAAAAATATATAGGACCATTTTCTTGCAAAACCGTCCGCCATCCTTTAACCTTATTTTTCAGGCGATTCAATCGGTGGCAGTTCTTTAGAACTGCGAAACAATAGCTGTATGAGTGGGTTCTTTCGATGATGAAGTGAGTTTGGTTTTAAAAGAGCGGCAGCATTTCACGTGTTTTCTATTGTTTACCTTAGGGTTTTGTTTGTTCCGTATGCTACCGTAAATTTAATGATCATGTCAAATTAAGTGAATATTATACACAAAGACACACTACCCAGATATAAGAATCAGATAACAAGATCTTGCAAGATCTTACAAGATCATATGATAAGAAAGTACAAGATTTCAAAAGATCTTATAAATTCTTATAAATTTCCAGGAAGATCTTACAAGAATTCATATGACATCTTGTAGCTAGATTCTTATAAGATTTTTCTTGTGATAGGAATTTACAAGATCTTATAGAAAGAAGCTATAAGAAATTATAGGGCTTTATACGGGGTTGTGTAACTTTCGGCCCGGACCTTCGACGCGGGCTCAAAATCCGATGATCTTTCGGCTCGCGACTCAAAGCCCTTCATGACTTTCAATCCGGGTCCAAATTCCCCCAGACTCGGGCCCAGTTTTCCCCATAGGCTCTGTCGGAATAAAACGTAATAAAGCCTAGTACTCAGCAGCACGACATAGTGCCAAGCAGTATGAATTTAGCTTACAGTACAGTTATAGCGTTTGGGCACTTTGTTTAGACACATAATGACTCTCTCATAAGACCACGGCACTCCTAAAGGGATCAAAGCAGACTGCTGAGCACTAGGCAGCGTGCCAACTAGTTATAGAAATACTGCTAGGGACCGAAGATCCAGAGAGAACTTGGGCTAGGGCCGAAAATACCGCGGGAAGTTAGATTCGGGCCGAACGTCTTTCTCGTTTCAACATGACTTTGGGTCCTGGATAGAAAGTCTGGGCTGAAATTCTAGTGTCCCCTTATAGGAAGTCACAAGCTTTTATATGATCTTATAAGAATTTTACAACATCATACGCTTGTTCATTTCCTGTCGAATCTCTCTATAGCTCTGCAATTTTCTTTTTCTATATAATTTCTAACATTCACAGGCCCTAGGTGGCCATAGGACCGTCTTTTGTCACATTTCTTAACCGTGCACTTCGTATGTGGTCAACTGACATGTGAAGTTGAAAAGAGAAACAAGTTTTAAGTTTTTCAAAGAGAATGATGTACACTGTATATCGTCGCAAAATTTATGTGTAGAGATGAGTCATCGATCTTGTAAGATCTAATGACAAGAATTAAATGATCTTGTAAGACCTTATATAACTTTGCGATAAGAAAATACATAGAAGTCAACAATGTCTGGCACAAGATTTTGTAAGATTTTACACGATCGTATGAATTCTTGTCAGAAGATCTTACAAGATCCTGTCACCTCTTATAATCAGATCTTACGACAAGAAGTTACAAGATTCCAGAAGATCTTACATTATCTTTTAACAAGCTCTTGTAAGATCACATAGTAAGATCTTATTACAAGATTTCACAAGAAAACATCAGATCCTACAAGGTCTTACAAGACGTGGTTCACGTGGATGTGCGAAACGAAAATACAGTACAATATGAAAAGCAACAATCATCCCATCAAATAAAAACAAGCAGTGATTTGACGAAAGAAGAAGCTGACCAAACATCATCTGAGGTAAGCAATCTATTATTAGTGTCATCGAAGAATAGTAACTGTGTATAATTTTTGTCTGCTTTGATGACGAAAATGGTCATCGTAACCATCGAGTAAGAAGTTACATGAAAAAAGCATTGGGCTAAATATATTATAGAGACGTAGTTAACATTTGAAACAACGAGAAGAGCAGATCATTTTATTTTGAGCTTTAATGTGAAATTTGAACAATGAGAGATTAGTCAACCTATTCCTCTTTGTTATTGTATTTAATAGATGTTTTTGAGAGTTTCTTTTTTTTCTGCTTTTTATTCTAACAAAACCTTGCTAAAGAATTCTTTGTTTTAAAAATCCGGTTTACTGTAACTGAAGAAAGTCGTATGGTGTATAAGTGTTAATCGGTTTTTTTGACTTTTATTTTTTTACACGTCTGTAATTTTCCAGAGAGTAATGAAATAATCAGAGTTCGGGAACAATCTGAAAATTTGGAAGAAGTTAAACAATTAAATGAACAACTTCGACAGTTATAAGAATGGCTTAGAGAACACGTAATCAAATCTCGTTTAACTATCATCTCTAACACATATTTATTTGTTTATTTACAGGCAGAAGACATTGCTAGTTTCAAAATCAAAGAAAGACGTTTACGAATAGATACTTTAGACTTTTCATGTCTATTACCGGTTTTCGAAAGAATGCGCTTGGGGAGATCGGTTATAACTTTTTAAGGAAAAGCGATAGAGACCTGCGGTTTTCACCGTTCGATAGAGGACATCGGAGCACGTAAGTGTATGCAACCGCGAACCGAGATCTATAATCCTAGACCGGTCTCAACTCTTTCTCTCTTACAATTCAGGAGCTATACGCATTTTGTCGAGAGCCCCGATTTCGGCCAGTTGGCCTTGGATGATCCTAAAATGGGTTAAGATAGGGGTAATCGGTCACGCTGATTCGAGTAGTGTGTTTATTTTTAGTTTCAAACTGATCTAAAGCCACCATATCAAGATCTTCGAAATATCCGCTATATACGCAATATGGCGGTAGAATGTCCTGACCCATTTTAGGATCATCCAAGGTCAACTGGGCGAAATCGGGGCTCTCGGTAAAATACGTATAGTTCCTGAACCGTAAGAGATAAAGAGTTGAGACTGGTCTAGGATTGTAGATCTCGGTTCGTGCTATCGATTGCACTACTTAGAAATCAAAATCCATCGTACGGTCCTGAAACGGCGGTATCGTAGACTTTGCATCGAAAGGCGTACCATGGTAACCTTACCTGGAAGCCTAGTTTTTACATACGCTTACGTGCTCCGATGTCCTCTATCGAAGGGTGAAAACCGCAGGTCTCTATCACTTTTCCTTAAAAATTTATAAGCGATCTGCCCAAGCGCAGCATTTCAGAAAAACGCTAATAGTTCGTAAAAAGGTGAACGCTTTTTACCAATATTTAATTGTTTGAGCAAATGTCGACTGTAGTTATGCTTAGTAAGGTAAAACAGAGTAACAACTAACTGTCAGAATAATAAATTGTTATGATAGACCGTGTCTGGTAGATGAGAAATGTATATCTGTCGCCATTCACAGAGAAACATATGCTCAAAATTTGAAAAACGTAAAAGATGTCGTTTGAACTTGGCTTTTTCGAATGCTTTTCAATCTCAGTAAAAAACTACTATCGGCGCCAAAATATAAGGCCGGTGGTAAACGCAACCAGTAAACATAGGCCATCGCCTATGTTATACGTATAACTCAAAACGAATAAAAAATAGTGACTTGCGGTTTTCATCATTCGCTAGCTGTATTTGATATGTGAAAAATCAGTTCGGTTCTCTGTAAACTGACACAGGCATCTATGGATTTTTTTCATAGATATATAGTCTAAAGTGTATTCTACAAAACTGGATCCAAGCGATATCTCGAAAAAAAAACGTTCAGAACAAAAGTACGTAGTATAGATTTTATCGAGTAAAAACCTATACTATGTGAAATAACCCATTTTGATTATTTTTATCAAAAATTAAAACACTCATAAGACAGCCAAAATCCATCAAACCTGCTCCAGAATGTCAGGAAATACTCTATCATATCTCCAGCATACCGTAAAGCTCTATGAATATTGTAAAAACAAAAAGAAAATACTTTGGTTTTTAGAAAGGTTTCGCGGAAACCCTCGCAAATAAGAGAATATTTTTTATTGATTTTAAGTACAGAATCAAAATGAGCGAATAAAATGGAGTATTTGCTGACATTCTGGAGCAGGTTTGATGGATTTTGGCTGCCTTATGAGTGTTTTCATTTTTGATGAAAATAATCAAAATAGGTTATTTCACGTAGTATAGGTTTTCACCCGGTTCTTGCATTTTGTTCTGAAAATTAACATTGCCACGAAATTCAGCATAGTCGATAGCCTATGTTTTCATTTATTTCTGACATGTCCAAACCTAACGGCAGAGCGGTCCTAAGGCTTCAGGAAAAACGTCCATAGCTTCCGAAAAATGGATTTTTGAGATATTGCTTAGGTCCAGTTTTGTAGAAGACACTTCAAACTATATCTATGAAAAAAATCCATAGATTTCTATGTCAGTTTTTAGAAAACCGAACTGGTTTTCAACAGATCTTCTGAAAAACCGACCTATGAAATTTTTTCCAAATTCATTTTTGCTTATGAAAACGTAGTTTCAGACCTTGGCTAGCGAATGATGAAAATCGCAAGTCACTGTCTTTTATTTCTTTTGAGTTATTCAAAAAATAAACACCGGCCAGAGGTGGGCAGCTCCGGCTCATGGGAGTTGTCACCGTTTATAAACGGAACCGGAGCTGGACGGGAAGTGTTGAGTTCAGAGCCGGAGCCGGTGTGCGGATGATGACGTGCGCGTTCGATCGAGGTAAAAATGACACTCTTACGGCAGATAGTGTGTGCGCTGATAACACATTAATATATGCTGTCTCAGTCTTGACCTTCTTCTATTAAATGTAACGCACATAAGGCCGATGTCACCGGCCTTATGTTTTGACGCCGATAGTAATCCATCATTTAGATCTTGAAAAGACGTTGATTGTATAGATTTTTATATAGTTTTATTTCGATTTTCTTGGAATAATATGATTTACCAAAATAAAGCCAATTCGAAACCCAGAGTTTTGTTGTATATTTAAAACTTATATTGTAAAACTTATATTTGATATACTGATTAGTATAGTAAGCAGGACTGACTTCTTACTACTTTTTATCGAAATAAATCATTATTATATTACAAAACATTTATCGGAATACTAATATTATATTTTCTGTTGTTTATTGTAGGGTCAATTAAAAGAATTAAAATTAGCTATTAAACAAAGTATGACCAAATTCAGAAGAACATGAATGTTAAAAACAATTATTAACAAGTGGAATTGAAATTTTTCGACAACAAACAAATAATAAACACAAAATATAAACGAAAATATTGAAGAGAAACAAAAACAGCTAACGATTTTAGAAAAAACTCAAAGAAAAAGTAATGATGATTTTTAAATACATGAACACGTCGGATGAGAAACTATGTAAAACTTCTTAAAAAATATCTGTTGTTTTTTTTTGTTATTATTCTAGATTAAACAAGAATATAAGCTGAATGAACAAACAATTGGTAAATATGAAAATAGTGTTAAACAATCTAGAAATTGATTTATGCGATAGACAGAAACAACAGCAATTGATGACTGATAAACATCAAACGGATTTAAACCAGAACAGTGTAAAAATTCAACAATATCTTGATAAAATTAATAACGAAAATAAAAAATTGAAAGAGACACGTTCATATTGTGAAATAAAACAAAAAATACCCATTTATGAAGAACAGTTTCAAATAAACGAAATACAATTATTGATATTGAGACAAAAAAAAATTGTTAAATTTTTCGTAGTGTGTCTCTACTCTAAAATGAAGTTACTTACCATTTCATATGGATGCAGTTTGACGCCAACATTTTTGTCATAATTTATTTTCTCATATATCTGCGTAATATTTCTAATTTGTTTCTCTCTTTTTTTTTTCTTTTTATACTATCTGTAATCAAGATAAAACAATCGAATGAATTAGATGATACAAAAATTTAATTATCAGATATGACGAAACAAATGAAAGATCGTGAACATTTGTTGGCATCTGGTCTTGCACAAGTAGAAAAAAAATTTCAACATGAAAATGAACCGTTCATAAAAATGATAGAAAATTTAAAACAGCAAAAACAATATTTAGAACTACAATTAGATGAAGTAAATACAAATCTGTTAGAAGTAAAATTAAGATGAATGATTGATTAGTACGTTTGTAATGTTATTGTTTATTTGAAGGTATCCGAAACATTATCCAAAACAAAGCAAACAACTGAAATTGAAAAAAAGAAGCTAGAAAAACAATTAGTCAGTGATCTGAGTGTGAAAGATGACAATGAAAATAAAAAAACATTCTGTTTGTCATCTTTTGTAGGATGCATTGCAACAAGAGTTAACAATAACAAAAACCGAATTAGAAACTCGTACGAAAAAACATGATATGCAGTTAACAGCATTAAATCAAAATTTATTTACGGTTCGAAGTGATTTAAAAACAGCGAATGAAAAGTTAATTAAATATGAACAATTAAAAGCAGAAAAAAATGGTATGTATAATACCTGGTGGATATACACTGTAAAAAATAAAGTGAACGTCAAGTCGATTCCCAGTGACTGTCGACAATGCACGGCGTAGGTATGTAAAGTACACACTGAGAAGTGACCGTCTGGCTCTACACACTGAGACCAATGCTATAGTCTATACTTATCTAAACTATCTGTGCTCGAAATGTCTCAGATTCATCAATCGATTGTTCAAATCTCCCCTACGGCGATGTTTTTTTTTCACTTTTTTTCTTATCCGTTTTTGCTGGAAATGATAGCATATATACTTTGGAAGATGGTGATCATGATTCTGAAATTATTTTTTCATTCGATGCAGTAGTTCAGGAGAAAAATGGAAAATAAGAGATCTTTTTAACACACCTAGCTCTTTACACACTAAGATTGACCATCTAGAAAAGGTACACACTTTTCGATGTCTAGTGAACGTTTAGAAGATTTACACATCTAGTAATACACTTTATTTTTTACAGTGTACTTGGAATAAATACTTCGCTTGCGTAATGAAGCCGGTACTTGCCACAATCGTTCAAGTACCGGTGAGGCAAAATCACAAGTGCTTTTACGTCGTACGTTGTAGTATTAAAACCAAGTATTACCATCTTGGAGAAGTACCTGTTAAAGTTCGTGGAAAGGAAATAGTTTTGAAAATACTTGCCACTTTTTTTCAAGTATTTACTTACTTACCAAGGAATCTGATACGTTCACTAGAGATCACTTTTTGGCTATTGAGATATCATTAATATTAACGCATATTAGTTGCTGTTTTCAACCTGCACCTTCGTCAATGACACATACATTTTCTTTGAAAAAAGCACATTGCTTCAAGAATATTAAAGTGATTACTATTGTGAATTCATGCAATCCTATATCAAATCTGCTAAAATTCATACCTCGAACTGCTTAAGACGTTTTGTGAAAATCTTGAAAAGCTGACTTTTCGAAAACATTTTACTTTCCGATAAAAAAAGCAAATCCAAAAATACTTTCAATACACCAGAAGATAGAGCAAGTATTTCTAATCAAAATAAGATATCTACCAGCTCTTAATGATGTTCTGATCAAGAGTTATGAGAGTTTTGCTAGGAGCCCTAAAACACGCATCAGATACTTGCTCCGCTATATCTCAAAAGCGACTTTCACCTTAACACCATTTCGTAGCGGCAAGATTTCCCAGTAACGAAACATCGCAGAGAGCTGGGGAAGCTCTTAAACTGGAGCTGACACATGTGGTTAGAGGCTAACAGAGTCCGACTTTTTATATTTGGTCTAGATTTGTGGTTGAAAAAATATTTTTATGCAAGTTACTTCTTCGATTTTTGGACTTTTGAAGCTGATCATTAATTTGAAAAGTAAAATATCAAAATTCAGCTCTCTTAGCCTCTAGCCACATGTATTTTTGTTAGCTTAAGATCAGCCCAAGCTCTCCACAACGTTTCGACAGTGAGAAATCCTGCAGCTACGAATAGCCCCATTTTTGTCACTGTTATGGCGACATCTCACAAACCATGCTTGATGGAGCTAAATAAAATATTTCGTCACCATACTTCCACAACATAAGCATCTCCTAAAAGGCTGCTCCAGATCAGACTTATACTTTCAGCGATAGGTTTTGACGGGAGGGAGGCCTAAAAAGAGTAGATATTCTCCTGTCATGTTAAGATCCATAGTGCAATTCAAACTTTGAATGCACGAAAATTGAAACCATTTCTAAACCATTTTTAGGTTCTGTACGAACAAGATTTCATACAATACATTTTTCCCCTGCTTTCAAAAAAAGGTTCCGTAGAGGTTTTTCCGTACTGATTCTACGTACGGATTTTATATAGTTTATTTTTGTATATTTGTCTTGAGTTTATTTATTTCTACTACCTAGCAACAAAAACGACCGAAAAAATGCAAGTATCGCCAAAGAGAAGCCACTTATTCACAAAACTTGTCGTTTAAGAATAAAATCATCTTCTAATAAAAATACGTGTAAATATGGATTGTCTAAATAGAGTAAAAGAAAATATTATCAAAAATCAGCTGACTTCGCATACTGTAAAAACATATCACTTTACCAAAGGTACAAAAAGAGAGAGGGTAAAAAAAGATCAGTCAGTTTTGATAACACAAAAAAGTCATCTACGGATAATAAAACTTACACAATATAGTATACTCCCAGTTCCCTTGAGGTCTTCAGAGGGTATCCAGAAAACTTTCTAGCTTTCTTTTACATTGGGCGCTTTTTCTACGGAATCAGAGAAGTTCGCAAAATTTCTCAGCTATCCTGCCCAGGTCGACGAAAACTGGCATTTAATTGTCCATTAACAGCCTGTTAATTGTGCAAAAAACGAATGAAAATTGTCATTTAACAGCCATTATAATGACAATTTTTTGACTTTGAAGTAACAGTGAAAATAATGCCAGATTATAGGCAATGTCCGAAAAA